GAGTGCATACAGATGAAAAAAGAAAATGAGGAATGGAGATGGAGAAAGACAGACAAGCCAGGAAAAAAAAGCTGGAGTGAATGTGGGGAAGACGTGGAGAGATGAAATAAAACTCCAGTGGATTTTGTTGTACTCAGGTCTATATGACTACATCAGCATTAACATTTTTTTTTATTCACACAAGCGCCAGAGCATCACGGAGCAGATGAATATAACTGATAACAGCATTTCTCTTTTCAACCCCCCCAAAAAAGACCTAACTGCTAAAAACACTGCATATGTGCGAAGAAGGGCCGAAGCTTGATGGACTGGAAGGCTGAGTCTGCACATGGTGCCAATCACCAAAAACGCACAAACATACAGTTTTCCTACTGGTAAAGATTGAAAGAAAGCTCTGGCTCTTCTTGAAGAAGTTAATATCAAATACAAAATGAAACACAGTTGTTATTGTTAGGTATGCAGGTAGTTCCTTTCTTGTCTGGATCCTCTCCAGCTATCGGACCATACTTTCCTGGTTCTTTACTTCCCGGGGAGGAAGACCAGTAACACTGTTATTGATACACTCCCAAAAATGACCATTTTTCAGTAAGTTGGTTTCAAATTGGTTTATATTGAAAAAGCATAGAAAATGGTGCTAAAAAGACACTTTGACCACCTGAAGCCCTTCCCATTCGGTGGCATGGCTCATTTTTATTGGATCAGCGTTGGATTTTCCCATCAGCAGTCTGACATAAAGCACTCTATAAAAACACAAACTCTCTCATGTGTCCAGAAGAGTTATGCTGAAGAAGAAGCAACCACTTTTACATAGCGCCTCTCATGATAAAAATCCCAAGGTGCTTCACAAGAACAAAAAAAATGCATAGGTAACACTTTACAATAAGAGTCCCTTTATTGATGTTAGTTTGTGCATTAAGCATTAATAAACCATTAAATAAAGTGTTAACTGCTTTATGCATTATATAGCATTACTAAACATATTATTTAATGCATTATTAAGTAGATTAGAGTTGCAGTAATGACAAAAAAAGACAAATAATGCTTCTTTCGCCAATTATTTCTTCATTCATTTAAATTGCAAACCATCTTGTTTAGGGTTGTGGTGGGTAGTAGCGTACGCCAGCAGTCATTGGAGTTCAGGTGAAGCACAGCACAGTTTGACAGACCGTCACATGAACAACCAAAGCGTGCATGCCCACACTCACTCTTAAGGTCAGAAATATTATACTAATGGTGCATTTGGACTGTGAGTGGAATCTTGAGTTTCTGGAGAAAACCCACAAAGGAGTAGCAACAACATGCAAACTCCCCAGGGGAAAAGCCTGCAACAGCTAAGAGATGAAATGGAGAACGTCTTACAGCAAGGTGACAACCTCAAAAATAGAATCAGCCTCTAAATCTGATTTGTTCATTTCAACGCAGCATTGATCCCGAATCAGAAGAAAGGGCATCATGTGTGATCAGCGAATGCTCTCTTCACTCCTGCGTGAAGCTTGATGCATGTCCAGAGGAACCATTAGCAGCTTTCTTGTGTGAATGTCAACTGCTGCTGTGCTGTACAAACCAATGTGTGCTCAGTGATTAATGTGAGTCACTGTTATGTCCAGCACACGCTCTGCCATTTGTTTTTTTTTTCTGGCTGCAAAACAAAAGCCAATCAATCAGCTGTGAAAACTTGACCATTGGGTAAACATGGGAGAGCATCATCTGTTTCCTTGGAGATCAATCACAGAGACTTGACATTTTCAGGGTTAAGGCCACACATGCACTCTTACATCTTAGCCAAAAGGAGCCACAAACATTTGGCTAACCTAGATGGAAGCAGAATACTGATCCTGTTTGAGAAATGTGCGCTTTACACCAACAAAATGTAACAATAATTCACTAATGCAGCTGAAAAGCATGTGTGCCATATTTCCCTCCAACAACAAGATGAATAATATTTAGCTTTTCCTTACTACAGATATTTGTTGATGCAAGGGAATTGGCTCAGATTATGGGGATTGCTAAGCATTTAAAGTGCAAAAACATCCATAAACAAGTCTTGATCTTCTTTACTGCCCTACTTTTCCACTTTTTATAGAAAAGCATTTACTTCAACAAGCCTCAGCTGATGGCAGACAGATAAAAAAAGTCAAAACAGAACCAAATATGAAGCTGTCGGCTTTGAATCAAATTCAGTGATAAGCAGATCCATCAAACACCTTAAAAGTCTTTATTTAAATCTTCCAAAAACACATACACACATTTTCCACCTCCTTCATGACTGGGAAATGCGCGTTTAAGCCCCTCAGCCCTAAATGTGCATCCAGCCACAACACAGATTAGTCTATAGCGTGGCCTTTTTATGTCAAATCTATTTTAAACCAACCTCTTTGCTTGGAAAGCTTCACCAGTTCTGGAGTTTATGGTGAATGCACCCATCTCGCACCTCCGTTGATGAAAGTTGGCACCGCACCGCCAACATTACAAAGGCTCACGGCGTGAGTCGATCAAGCTTTTAAGTGAGTTCTTGGCCACAAGTCGTCATGTATTCTCATGTGTCCTTCCCAATCTGCCATTAGCATTTGACAATGTTGGGTGAATGTGCATGGAGGGGAAGCTTGTACAGAAGCAGAACTTGGTAAGAAAATGGTTTGAGATATGTCAAATAAATATCCAAAAGGAGAGGCCACTGAGGGGATCAGCAGCAGTCTAGGAGGATCTAGAGACACGCAGAAGTAAAGAATTTCTCAGCAGAGACAAAATGCCATGGAAATGTCAAAGCTGTACTCTTGTTCCCAGGGGTCTCCTAAAAATAAAAAATAAAAAGTCCAATTTCGATTGCAATCTTTGTGAGCTATGGGAAGCTGTGTATAGCCAAATAAATCCTGGACAAGCTGTGCAGCGTGTCCACCTGGACAGGTCATCAGCTTGTTAGTGTCTCTCTTTTATTTTTACTGCAAATACAATTTCCCATCTTTCAGAACAGAAACAGACTGTCCTAAATGCACACAAAAGAATTTTAACGGTTCAGAACCCATGCAGCCCAACGATTTAAAAATCAGCACAATTGAATCTGCATGCCCCAAATAAACACAGGTCAGACATGTTGAATAATAGCCCCCTTTTAGAAATGCAGACTAAGCTTCAGATTATGCATATTGGAGTAATGTAGGTTGCCAAAGAGCATCTGATATGCTAAATTCTTCAGAACTGCCAGAAGTAATTTGGCCTCTCATATCAATCCGCCCTATTTCTCTCCAAAAGTCCAGTTCCGGGTGAGTGACCACAAGCTACACCTAACTGTGGTCATTATCAAATTGAATGTGTATTTACACAGCGGCTTATCCTTTTCTTGTTTGGCGCTAACAATGTGTGCAATATAATAGGAATGTTAGTAGCTAGTAATTTGTTTTTGTTGATAGTTTTGTTTCTGCGGAAGAACCTGGCGAGGACACTTTAAAAAAAGGTTAAAATAAATTGTTGACTCATTTAATTTAGCCTAAAACACTAAACATATAAAATAACAATAAAATAAATTAGATTTTGCAGTTTTATAACTTTAAAACATGAAGTGTGCTGAAAGATTTGCTTTCATCGATGTTTTTACGTAGCTGTACCCTAAAATCTACGGTATTCAAATATGAACCTTTTTGGCAAGTCAGTTTTGGGTGAAATGCATTTTTCACTAGTAGGTGTTATATCAAATGCTGGCCATTTACCATTTAGTTGTCATTTGGCTGAACATGTTAAAATGTCATCATGATAGCAGATAAGTGATGTTGGTATCCTGGAATGTTTTAGTTTTGTTTTTTTTTGTTTATGAGAGGGGACCCCGCATATATTGGTATCGGGTTTCAGTATCGGAAATTAAAAGTCAACAATATCAGTATATTGGATATTGATACAAAAAAGCCAATATTGACCATCCCTAAAAAATCTGCTTACAAATCAATGAAAGAGAGTAAGCAATGTTGAAGTTGCACAAAGCAAGCCATCCCCAAATAAACTTGTTTTGCTGATAAACTATATACATGAGTTTCTAATCATGCTGCAGACACGTGCAGTCAATAATTTGGCACTTTAGTGCATCTTAGTCAAATTTTTTATATTCAGCCTAAAACTGTCACGGTCACACACTCTTCAGGTAAAAACTGTATACAGCACCATATTTGAATTTTAATCTGCCATTGCTATTGGCTAAGAGGTACCATATGATGTTATCTGGTACCATATGATGTCAAAATGCATTTGTAGGCCTATGTGTGTGTGTTTTTGTTAGCGACTCCGCCCTCTCGGTCTGCCAGGCAATGCCTCCTTACGGCGCATTTTTAAAACATAAAATGGGAGTGGAGTTAGAGTGTGGCAGGGGGTGACTTACTCTTTAAACTAGTAAATCTGTATTCAGCTGCAGCACTTTCCCAGGATATGATGTAAATTTTTAATCAACAAGATAAAGTTGAAGGTTTTGAAACTATCAAATACATTTGGCATCTAAATTATCAGAAGGTATGAATCATAAGTATGAATGAAAAGCAACTGAAACTTAGACAAGACTAATCTTATGTCAATGAGTTATAAAGTCTGCACTAAACCATTTTAACCAACCGCCCTGGAAATTATGCTAAATACTCCGACGTTTGGTATTTTTACCAGCAAAGAAAACAATCAAGCGAAAGCAATCGCCGGAGTAAAATGAACTGCTAGCTTCTGAATCTTAAACCTCTAGACAAAGATGAGCCATTTACCTAATCCGTGTTATTAGAGGAACTTAAAAAAGGGCTGCCTTATGAACTGAATTTCAAAAATGACAAAAACATGTGTGTCTGGGCATGAGAGGAATGATGAAGGGATAAAATCATCAGTAAGGATAAAACGAGGAGGGAGAACTGGGATTTCTTCACGTTTAAGTCCTTCAAATATGTGTCTCGTCAGGTTTTAGGAACCTAATATAATAGAAACACACACACACACACACACACACTGATCCTGTGTTACTAAGCACAACATTTTCCTACCTGATGAAGTTGGTTCCTCACCATCTGCTCCTGTGGACACACAAAAGAAGGGAAAAAAGGCAGAGGAGGGAAAATATATTAGTTTAATCACAACTCTGTCACAGTATTCAGAACTGCAGCTGTATTTAACACTGCTGATTCCACTACACCATTAACCACACCACAATGCCATATGTGCATTTGACATGCAATTCACTGGAGCATATAGGATGTAAAGCCAGATGCACCTGCTTTTCTGTAGGTCACAGCATCCTGCCAACAGAAACACAACCCTGCTGCCACGAAACACAACCTGGCACCAAGTCAGAGCCCATCCCCCCCATTTAGGCACTGTGTCCTGGTCAGCTGGCTTTGACTAATATGTGTTCATCATTCTGAGCCACTGCAGGATTAGCTCGGTGCCATACATACTAGCTTGCTCCGGCTCCAGCTCCCAAGCCGCAGCTACAGCTACATGGCTGAGACTTGGCCTGTCGACCGTCATTAACAGTGCGCTCGATCTCCATCATTGCTCATGAAATTGCACCAGAAAAGAAAAAAAAATGCCAGAGAGCTGGATGCAGCTACAGAAGTAACAGACCAAGGGCATTGGATGCACAGGGGGGCAAAAAGAAGGCTATTAATGATGGGAATGCAATATTCTGGATGGATGAAAGTGGAATGGGTGGACAAACAGACAGAATGCTGAAGCGTTGCTTCTCTGAGTCAGCAGAATAAATTAAATGTTTCCTAACTGCTAATAGCGTAGCTTACCAGCACCTGCTTAATTAAACTGAATAGCAATTAGCCATTAACACACATTAAGACCACATAGTTCATAAAGCAGACAGTGAACCAGTAAGCAGCAGTTTAAATAAACATTTAATTCCTCCTGGGTAACTAATATTGATTTGTGACCATAAAGAGAAGGTGCACCAGGTAGCCTAGGTTTTTTTTTTTATCTTCGCAAACTGACTTTTGCAGCTCAGCTGGCAAACATTCCTGGGATTGTTGGGATTCTCCATGAGTGCACATACATTTTCTCTTTCTCGTATTTTTTCGTAACGTACATCACTCTTACAGGTGTGTGTGTGTGTGTATATATTTACTTCTTCTATCAAATATTTACCAGTACTTTCAGTTGATAAACTACATTTTGCTCCACTATTTAGCTAGATTTAGACCATCCCTGGGACATTTGACTCCAGCTCATACACAAGAAGGTTCCAACTAAAGGGAAAATGATTCATTCAGACACAGCTGTAATAAACAGACACAATTAAAGGGTGAACAGCCTTTCACACTGCTTTGAATGTGAGAGAAAGCGTTAAAAGTCTCACAGAGCCAAAGTCGAGCGCTTGTCAGCGTCTCATCTGTCTGGCAGCAGAAGCTTCCCTTTGTGTTTTCCCAGGCGCACGGGCCACTGTAATCCCCAGCCAAGCACATTCCACGCTTCGCTTAGTGTGGTTTTCATTCTGCCTTTCTTCCCCTCTCCTACCAGAAGGGTCAAGGCACAAACTTGAAAGTCCTTAGACGTTCACCGAAAACACACATAACAACAAACAAGCAAATAGAAACAAGTAAAAAATGTTAATAAAAAAAAAAGCATATGCCTCGGAGCGCAGACAACTCCTCACACCCACACATTAATACACATATGGACAAGATAGAGATGCAGAACATTAGGTTTTTCCTTTCTCAGTCCAAGTGTTGAAGTGGTGAATCGTAACACACTTAGTGCACAAATAGTCTGGCTGGTGTTCAGCACAGATGAGTGAAAACAGAACAAGCTCCATCACAAGGCTTGTGGTGTCTTGGGGACAAAAACAGCTCAATTTTTCTTCTATTGTAAGACAAAAAACGGCTTTTTAATACTTAATAAGATGTGTTATGAGAACTGGACGCATAATCAAAGCTAAACAATTACAGACAAATGGTGAATGCTGATAGAAACTTTTAGGGGGTTTTCACACCTCAAATTTTACAATATCTGAACAAATTTAGCTTAAATTTATCTCAAATGGGAGAGATATCTGGTGTTGGAACGGTTATCAGTGTCACCAAACACTAGAATCTCCAGGTGTACCGCTTCTTATGGAAAAAAGCAACAGTTGTCCCCAGATGAGCAGATCAGTTGGGTTTCACACTGGATTTCATACAAATATATGGATGTATGATTGTTAAAGTTAAAAATATCAACAAAAACCTCATAGATCAGAAATGCTTCCATGTTGATTTAATTTATTGACTAATAAAGTCCCTTTCGACCACCAATCGCAGGAGCCCAAAGTGCTGAACACAAATAAGTCCTTTATCAGTTGAAAGCATTTAATATCAATAAGAATAGGAACAACGGTTAAATTTTAAAAGTAAAAGCCTTTTCACATACTGTAACCACTATACCAAGAATACAATAAAACCTGCATGTAGTCCTCTGGCCAGTGATTCCCTAACAAACACCTACTGAGTGGTTCTCACAGAAATAATAATAATAATAAAAAAAATACAGCTAAAAGCAGTTTCTTGTCCCTCCATCACAACATATTCAGATGGCATTCCTGAACAAGTGATAGTTGAAGTCACATGTCTACAGAAAGTAACAAGTCAAATTAAGATTCCTTGTTTTTTCTGCAGGATTTTTGCAAATCGTAAACAATTCTGACATTTTGCTTTTAAAGAACCTCAGTTGCATGGTGACGCAGTGGTTAGCACTGTTGCCTCGCAGCACGAAGGTTGCAGGTTTGAAACTTGGCTGCGGCCTTTCTGCGTGGAGTTGCGTGTTCACCCCATGCATGTGTGGGTTCCCTCCGGGTACTCCGGGTTCCCCCACAGATCACAACATGCCCTACAGGTTATAAATTGTAAGTCGTTTTGGATAAAAAGCGTCTGCTAAATGAATAAACATAAACTAAAATATAAAACATAAAACATTATCAACTGTGTAAGACAATGCCACTCCTTGTTCTGGTATTACAAAAGACAACAGTACGAAGAGAGGACAGCTGTTAGACAGGAATGATGTGGTTACGATTTATACAGAAAACAACTGAAGCATTGATCTATGTTCAGACTACACAAATACATTTGTAAAGGAAGGAGGGTTCTGGAGATGACTCATTTAAATGGCCCCTCATTTTTCCCTGGAGAAGGTCCTCTCTATACCCTGATAAGCTCCCACCATTCCTGAGACACCTTTGGTTTAATCTGACTGACAGCCAGGAGGCAGCAATAACCATCCATAATCTAAATAGGAAGCGGCCAGCCTGTCCAGCACAGGGCTGATATGACCTCAAGGTGTTCAGAGAAGATAGAGAAGAGAGAGCAAAGGACAGAGAAGTATCAAAACCATGAGAAACATGGCTACACCACGCGCAAGCACACGCACACACATGCACGCACATGCACACAAGCTTTCAAAAACTCCATGTTAGATGCCATTTGAATTTAGCTGATGTGTTGAAGGTGTTAAACCAATACCTCAACAACCAGAATTAAATTGTTGAATAACAAAAGCAGAATGACCCAAGAAAAAAAAGCCTCCATGATCCTATTATATTCTTATTTTGCTCTGGTTTTATTAACATTCGTGAACTCACCACTCTTTACTCGCAACGATGAAGGCTGTTGTAGGTTTAGCAACCGGGAGGGAGCAGAGCACGTCTCAGCTAGTAGAAGCTAACCATTAGCATTAGCAACTCCACAACGTGGCAGAACTCCTCCAGGCTTCATTCATTTTTGGAGTTAAAACAAATAGCAGTGTACAACAAACACTAATGAAAATGCAACTACCCTTTATAGAAACAGAGCCTGTCTTACTTTCTATAAAGGGTAGTTGCATTTTCATTAGTGTTACATATACACATACACTACTACTTATCTCTATTGTATTTATTTGTTTTTAATCTGACTATGTGTTGCTTATGATATGGGTGGATGTTTTACTATCAATGATGAGTTAATTATGAATTTATTGTGTCATTTTTGTCACTGATTGGTAATGCATTAACTTGGCTCTCTCCCTCTGCTTGTTTGACTAATGAAGAAAACATGTTTTTGTTTAATTGACCAGCCGACACCTGTGTGTGTGTGTGTGTGTGTGTGTGTGTGTGTGTGTGTGTGTGTGTGTGTGTGTGTGTGTGTGTGTGTGTGTCAGAAAACAGTGAACTGAACTCAGAAAAAGACATAATCTGTGGAAATGTCAGTTCTGTTTGTTTTGCACCTATTAAAATAATAAGGACCATTTTACTCCAGCCATACTTTATCCTCTACATTTGATGACCCATGGGCTGCCAGAGCACCTGATGCCCTCTGGATGATGCGCAACATGCCCTTCTATTACAATGTTTTTATCTATCTCTTATCAAATGGTTTGAGACGACGAAGTGGTGAGTTCATGTGATCGGTTTTTGTTTGCAGCGTGGCTGCAGAGAATTCCTTTGCACTGATTTTATGGCCACATATTAATTAAAATTTTACGAGTGGACAGCCAACAATATCACTCAGACAGACGACCAAAGTTCATCTGCATATCAAGCTTGGCTGTTGGCTGTTGTTATGCTAGTCAGAGCCACAACAAAGTCAAAAACAAAGCATGCAATGAATAATAATTCTCATTTAGCAGAGTAGCTTCAAGAATGACAGCCGGCTGTCACTGCTAATACTGGCGGCCCAGACAGTACTCGCTATAAGGTTCTGTTTACTTCTGTGTTTCAGGCTACAAATCTCTGCTTATAAGATTATTACAGCACTTTCATGTATGCTCTTTACCTGGCAGCAAATAAAAGAAACACGTCTTTTTAATTAAGACACAGTGCCTTACAAAACAAAGGAAAAATACGAGTTCATAAAAGTTTCACTCAAGCTAGTTTCACTTGTCGCCGATTTCTGCATTTAATCATTAAAACCTCCTACAGCTTCAACTGTTCAATGTGTTTTCAGCCACAAATAATCAGCATTAATTATCACAATCAGCCTGCCAAACCGTACCAGAGTGGGAATGGCATAAACTTTTACAATAGTTTCTATTTTACACGTTACATTGCAAAACTGAA